AACAAGCATCAGTATATCACAGTACATTAGCCACAACAAGTTGTACCAATTGATCAAAAAAATTGGTTACCAATGAAAAATAATAGCCCATTTTCAACTCATGAACAACCATTTACAAACATCATGATTTATGTTGATGTAAGGAAAAAAGATTTACACACTTACAATACTTTATCAACAGAGAGAAATATTTTAGTCTTTATCTTCCATATGCACGAGAATCGTCTCTAACTACATTTATGTACAGATATACTCGGCATGACGATGAACTGCGACATAATGCAAGAAATCTTAACGAAGTGAAAAACATTTGCATTTCACAAGCACACCCACAAAATGACTGCATAAAAGGAAAAGTTTCCTTTTATTCTACTCTATACTTTGACTGCACGGTTATTTATAACAAAAATAGTAGTAAATTGTTATTGATGTACATATTTTACACAACTCTGAGATTATTAATGAAATTTCTGGTATAAGAAAATTTCGTTGCCCAAAGGATCTCTAATGGGGAAGTTTCTCGACGTTCTTCTCGTGAGACTATGGAAAACTTATGGGAAATAAATTTTTTTTTTGAAAATTTTTCCTAAGATCTGAAAATGTGCATAACTTCTATACTAATAATGCTACAGGGTTGATCGAGGGCTCAAATGAAAGATCTCGATGGAAGGAAGAAAATCGATATGGTAAAAATCATCATTGGAGCATAGTTCATGCTAAAATTAAAGCAAGTTCTCGTATTACCCCATTTTAGGAGTGAAATAATTAATTTTTCTAATGTTTGACCTGATTCCGCATTACTACGCATCAAGACGAAGAGAATGAGTGGTCGATCATCAAAATCGGACAACTTTGATTTTTCGACCCCAAAAAATGGCAAGTGGTACCCCTTTCCATTTTTTTCACCCAAAAAATAAAGGTACTCCGATTTTGATGGTTGAGGGCTCTTTCTTTTCGTCTTGATGCGTAGAAATGCGGAATCGGGGCACCGGTCAAGAAAATTCACTTTAACACCCTTAAAAGGGGGTAAAACTGAATACACATTAAAAATCATCATCCCCTTGACTTTAAACCCTTATAACTTATGAACGGATGGTCCAATAATCATTTTTAGGGACGTTTTAGAAACTTAAGAATCTAAGCTAAACATTGATGCCCATTAAAAATGTTGGAAAAATTTCTTTCACCCTTAAATCGCTAAAATATAAAAAAAAACCACATTTTTTTGGGAGTTTGCTAACTATTTTGGCAATTTTGAGGGTGCAATCAATTTTTTAAACATTTTTTATGGATATGTATCGTTAGCTAAGATTCTAAGGTTTCCATATACCTCTTAAAAATCATTATTCGATGACTTGTAAGAGAGTTATAGAGATCCAAAGTTAGAGTAAGGGTCAAAAATCATCCGCTTTTCGTTACCACTTGCCATTTTTTGGGGTCGAAAAATCAAAGTTGTCCGATTTTGATGATCGACCACTCATTCTCTTCGTCTTGATGCGTAGTAATGCGGAATCAGGTCAAACATTAGAAAAATTAATTATTTCACTCCTAAAATGGGGTAATACGAGAACTTGCTTTAATTTTAGCATGAACTATGCTCCAATGATGATTTTTACCATATCGATTTTCTTCCTTCCATCGAGATCTTTCATTTGAGCCCTCGATCAACCCTGTAGCATTATTAGTATAGAAGTTATGCACATTTTCAGATCTTACAGTTTTTTGCCAATATATTATCAATTTCATTACGTATATCGTTCTTTCAAGTATAAAATATTTAAAATACGTTTGGTATAGAGAGGTCAAATTAAAAAAAAAATTTTGTTCCCAAAAAATTATTTTATACGGTTTACTATTATTATTCATTTATTTCTTTATTATAACGTACAGTTTTAACCATTAATAGAGACCCTTTAGGCCAAGGATGGCATCAAAAAGAAAGACCAACATCTCAATATTATTAAATAATACACGTTCGTTTAGATGAAATTATTTATTGATATAAAAAAATTCCGAATGCACATAAAAGAAAAATCAGTATTTGTAAATATTTGTTGAAAAAAATAAATTCAAAATATTTGATGGAATTCAATAAAACTCGAAAAATTGATGCAACAAAGAAAAATTCAAAGAAGATATTATTGAATGGGATTCATTCTTTCAATTGAAAGTATTAAAAAAATAATTAAAAAATTGACAATAGATTTATGTATGTATTGATAAACATAAATAAATGCATTTGATATTACTTTAATCTATATTGAAAAATAAACAACGGATGGAAAAAAATTTAATTTTAATAATGCAGTCATATTTTAATTTTTATTTAAAATTTTTTTTGCTGTGAGTTTTTTAACTTCTATTACTTTCTATCTACTTTCATCTTCTATTATTGTCCAGACAAGATGGCACTCTATGTGAATTCTCAATCTACTTTATTATATATACATAGCCGAATATTGAGAAAGCCCGTTCTCTTCTAGCGTTCGCATTTATTATCCGAAACAGGTACTACCAAGCCGCAGGCACTTCACATTTATATTCCAAACACTGCGAAGCCCTGAAAAGCTGTCGTGCGCGAACTTCCGGAGCGGCCGAGCGTTTCTACTAGACGAAGAATCGGTGCGCCAGTTTAGGCAAAAGCCAAAGATATATATATATACATGCACATATATATTTTCAAACCATTTTTTTCTTACACTTAAATAATCGTCCAATAAAATTATCCTCAAATGTTTGCCTATTTATAAATCAGTTTATCATGTCACTTATTAAAAACTTTATATGAACTCCTAAATAATAAATTATTCAAATTATTTTATTTTATTATTTAAATCTAGTTCTAAATATGACCCAATTAATTTTCGAGATGTCTAGCTTAACATGACATTTATGATCTCTAGGAGAAGAGCACGACTGGTCATTTCCAAGCTAACATTGGACTATGGTTGACCAAGAATGATCTAACGTGAAGCCAAAAAAGTTCAGTCGTGCTTTCCTACTCGGGCTGAGGTCAATTCAGGCCTAAAAAAAAAATAAGAGTAGAGAATCACTCAGTAATTATTTATGCAATGGGTAGCTAGAAGGTAGTTGGATATGGTCCTTCATAAATGTTTCAGATTTGGGTCAATAAGAGGATATCATAACATTATACTGTAAAAAAGAAATCCTACGGGTCCATAAATGTCATTAATTTATACATGACAACTATGCTGTAAAGCATGAAATGCTTATGTACATTGGTATGTTTTAATTAAAATTAATCTACCTATTGTGCATTAAACCTCTTTGCAGAAACTTCCTCTGACATTTGATAAATAGATCAATCCCCAAATTGAACATTGAATAAGCTTAACGAATTTCTAAGTATCTGCACACTATTCACTTAATTTAATTTTACCTCTAATTACTTAGACTTAATTTAATCTTATACGCATTCGTGAGTCAAACAAGAAAAAAATTACACCAAAATCTATTGAATGTGAAAGAAACTTATAAATATCAGAATAAAATATTTTACTGGGTAATAATTTAATAATATTATTTATAATATTTATATTAGAAATCATTTTAGTGATTTAAAATTGATAATTAATTATGCAAAATACTTTTGTATCTAATAAATCTTGATATAAATAAATATTGATAACAATTTCTTGAAATAAACTATCAAAAAATTAAATACTCTTATATTATATGCTTCTGTAGAACACACCCCCACTTTAAAACTCACGTACAGCAACTACGAGCACGAGATTTATGAGTTTTTCTTCAACAGCCTGTAAATTTTCCACTTTTCCGTGCTAACGATTCAAAAGTTTTGTGACTTATTCTCACTCCGAGTTCTTTTTTTCCCTTATTCCTCCATTTCAAGTTTCTTTTTACTCTATGTATATTTTTTCACAAATCTTTCTTACAAGAATCCTGCAAATAGATTTCAGGATTTGTTCATTGTTCTTACAATAAAAAGATGCAACATATGTTTTTATCCTTTGAACTCTTATAGACATACTTTAATGGATTTTTCTTCAATAACATTCCTTGTTATGTCATACGTATCAAAGTAGATTGTCATTTTCATTCTTTTTTCTAGTATAAGTTGCAAAGCATTTCTTATGCATTTTTCAGGTGACTTTTGTTTTAAATTTCTCTACACAATGATAAAAAAGTTTTCATGCAAATAAATGATGAAATAAATGCAATTTGAAATTTTTCTTGGTTTATTTAATCAATTTTATATTTAAAAATTGAATTGGAAAATAATGATGACTTGATTATTGAGATCAGATTTCTTAGTTTCACAACAGCATTTACTTACATGCTATCGAAATTTATGAATCACCTTCTCTAGTAGCATCTTTATTACCCATTACTTGTCTGCTATATACTTTAAGTGTATTCTCAATTCGAACATTTTATCAGTTACTGAAGAGAATAGTTATAGTCCCAGAATTTGAATTAATGGCTGAGGTATCTTAACGTGGTTAAATTGGAGATGAAAATTCATAAACTTAATTTATATTTTAAATGAAAATAAAGTAAGAAGAAGATGGAGATGCTTGAAACATATATAGGTTGATGAAAAAGAAAATAAGTACTGATCATTTATTCTTTGCCAGTTTTCATGAATTATATCATGATAATTACTTTTAGGTTTTAAACATCTTTCATTCTTATATTCCGATTTACTTATATACTCTCACGGGAAATCACAAATGGTTCAACTATTTGTCACAGTTGAATATATAGAAACTATAAAGAATCGTGACATCGACAGTCCAATGAATTATCGTTCAAGATTACCTGAATTTCAAATTCTCCAGTGGGAATAGCAAACTTTTCTTCACGTAGTCTCAAAGGATACTCTATTTTTCAGGCAAAAAAGTCTCATAATTCTTTTTTCTAAAATTAATGACATCAATAAAAACTTTGATTCTTTAATATATATAGAAGATTGATAACTTGATATTAATAAATTTTTTATTATGTCATTCTTTTAGCACCACCACAAAAAGTTGAAATCAGCAACTATCCGAACCAGGACAAAATTGAGTTAAGCGTTGGTGAGTCAAGAAGTCTAGAGTGCACAGTCAGCTTTGCAAAACCAGCTGCTACAATTGTATGGTATCGCGGGAATTCTGTGATCAAAGGAGGCGATACTTCCATCATACCAATCGCTATTGAAGACGGTAAGTCAACTTGTAGAGAAGGTAGAATAAAAGAATTTAAGACAAAAGAACTTGAAAGTAAAAGAGGGATCGAGAGGTGAATATGGTCAACCTAGATTGTTAAAGTATGAAAAAATAGATAAAGGATTGGAAACATGTGACGTTTGCAGGTTTAGTAGAAAACTTCGCGTTAGGTCAGACACGTTTATTCCATAGTACTAACTTACATTGCGTTGTGTTTATTTTGCGCTTTAAGAATAAATTAAATAAAAAAAATATGTTTACAATTGAATTGATGTACCATATTTTCTAAATTGATTATTATTGTTTTTTATTTGAAAAAAATTTAAATAAAAAGTATCAGAAATGTGTTGAATATGACGTCACCCATTTGATTAACATTTTAGTTGTTTTTTACATATTCAGAGATGTGTGTTAAAAAAACACACTTTTAAAAATTAAAATTTGTAACAAATCCATACGATAATTAATTATTTTTTTTTTATTTTTCAAATGAAATATTATATTTAATTGAAAATAATTGAATTCCTATCTGTTCTACAACTTTCAACTACAAACTGATTTAATGAAAGAGAAGAAAAAACTAGCCCACTATAGGCGATTTAATATCAGTTAACTTCATAATACATTGCATACATGGATGAATAAATTCTGCCTCAAATATAAAATGAAAGTAAGAATTAAATTCGATTATTTTATTATTATTATTTTTAATAATAATTGGAATAAGATAAAAAAAAAAAATTATTTCTGTGTTAATTATCAAAAAGCATCTAATGCATAAAGTAGATGTACTGTTTCTGATTACTTAAGCGATTTCAACGACGTTAATTAATGTACAGTAAACTTTTAATTAAAACAAAAATATAGTAAAAAAAAGTCATTCATATCTATCACAGTAAGAGAAGGAGAAATGAACAAATAATTAATAATAAAAGCACAAATAATTAATGTATCTTTTTAGATGTGATTATAAATGATGGAAAAAAGTTTTATGATGAGAAATAATAGCTATAAATAGTAAATATATCCTAAGAAAATTAGTATTTAATTTAGAAGATGTTCATTTTGATTTCTAACGACTCATTTGTTTCACATTTTCACCACTCCATTAATTTTATGAACATTAGTTATGAAGAAATCAATGGAACACAAGTTAGGAGTTGAGGATAAGGTCTTGGCATTTTTCCCCTTCAATAAAACAACATTTATTTAATGCAAACACTAATGTAGGGTTGTAAAAAAATCCTGAATGATCCCTTGCATCAGCAATCACGCGGAAATCCGAATGATCCGTAAGGGATATCATTCTTCCTGACCCTGAGGTTGCGACAAAACTTGGACGTATACGAATTGGGTTGGTTTCAAGTTACCAAGGGTAAAGCGGAGATGGGTAGAGTAAGTTGGAGCATAGAATGGATAGTGAGGGTGGAGAAAAGAAAAAGATCCCATTGGAACTCGACAACATTTTCCTGAAAATGATTCCTGCACGTATATATGATCCCCCACAACTATCGATTTTCCTTCTCCTACTCCACAAGCATCTTCATCTCTATAACCTTTCAACCAAAAGAAAAAGATAGCTACGTATTTTCAAACTTTCTACTAGACCTCCAAGTACCTATTCTCGAAAAGTCATTTTCTCTAGTTCAGCTCCTTGGAAAAGCCCACAACCGTGGCTCTTTCGTTCAAATCCATTGGCTTCAAACTTACAAAACGATGAAAACAATGAAAAACGAAATATTGCTCCTTGCTAAATCCCTTCCTCTTTCTTCAAGATCCAACAGCTTTCTATGTATGAAATGGCATCATTCCAACTTCTAAAATCAACGTTTCTGTTTCGTTCACTTTTTCTTTTCAACCTTTCATTGTTTTCTCTCTACCCTTTTCTGTACTTCTCAGTTTCGTTTATTTTTTCTCCTAAATATTTTCTGTTACCACCACAACTTTAGAAGTGATTTGGGTTTTTTCGTAAAATTTGTTATTTTTTTTTCTCCGGAAAAGCAGAAAAAAACAAAAAAAAAATGAAGAAAAAAAGTACAGAACAGTTTAAGTAAAATACGTAAGAGTCTTGAGTATAAGTTAAATCACAACCGCAAAAGTACAAGCCTTGGACAGTTAGTAAAAGCCGACCTCTGAAGCTTTTAGCTGAGATTCAACTTGAAGTTTAATCCTCTTTCCATTCCTGTATGTACACGCGCACTTCCCGATTCTCTCTAGTAACCCTCGACGCCCATAAAGTTTGCTCTACTTTTTCATTCTGATCAAGTTGTAATATTGCTGTCTTTTTTCTGTTTCAATCTATGCAGACAAGGATATACATGGTGACTCAAGAAAAAAAATACAAAAGTTTGATACTCGAAGTTCAATAACTATTGTACCAACTACAGACGATGATGGAATGGATTATGCTTGTGAAGCTAAACATCCAGCTATTCCTGTTGACAAACCAATGAGAGCTGTAGTGAAACTCTCTGTTTTGTGTAAGTCTTTGCTCCAAATAGAACAAAAAAAAACGACAAGGAATGTTGAAAACTGTTTACTAAGTTATATTTATTTTAGACCCACCTGGTGCGCCTTACATTGAAGGATATATCGTGGGTGAGCCTGTACAACGAGGTCAACGAGTTGAACTAACGTGTAAATCTCGAGGTGGTAATCCATCTGCTCAGGTGGTGTGGTTCCGGAATAATGAACTAGTAAGCAATTCTTACAGTACGACGTACAACAATGTTGCACAAAATGTCCTCATATTTGAAGCTAAATCAGAGGACGATAAAGCTCGTTATCGATGTGAAGTTTCCAATATTATGAGTGTCGTACCACAAAAAGTACAAGTGGATCTTACTGTTTTATGTAAGTAAAAAATATTTATAGTGTATTGATTTTTTTTTATACCATTAAAGAGCTAATTTACCTTTAATTTTCTTCATCAAATTTTCATCATCTGAAATTTTATAAAATCACTTTTCATAGTTAATTGAAAATTTCTCTCGGTATAAAAATATTTAAGGATAATTTTTTTTCTAAACTCCTATAAATTCAATAAACTTGAAATTTAAAAAATATCCACTATTAGTTGGTTAAATCCTATACGAGCTTGTGAAATTCAATGGAATATAATATCTAAATTAAATATCAATGGAAGATTTAAAAATAAAAATATAATTCATACTTTATACAATAGTGCAAATTATTTTTTAAAAAACTTGTTCCTGAATTATTTTTCAAATAATTTAACAACAAAGTTTTCAGATATTCAATTTACTCAACATTAATTTATCAACATTATTTAATCACATAACTCTATCATGTTTCGTGTTCAAATAATTGAATAAATTCAACTCAATAGTATGGCTTTTGTTTGAACTAAAACTCATTCAAAGTACTGATGAATCAGTTAACTTTATGACAAGATTGAGATCATTCTTTTTCCCAGTGTGTATAATATTATGCGATATTATTTATTCACCAGTATTCATGCTAATTAGTGATCAACAGACATAGAGGACAAGTACACATAAATATTTGTTTTCATTCTATAGTTCCACCAGCTTCAGTAATAATTACCGGACCAACTGAAGCTAAAGCTAATGATGAAGTCACTCTTACTTGTACTACTGAAAATTCCAATCCTGCAGCAGATATAAAATGGACTGTCGATGGTATTGCATTTAATACAGCCAATATGTCTACTAGTTTAGCCACAGGAGGTGGTTATATCACTACGTCTAACATTACCTTCATCATAAATCAATCCTCACGAAGCATCGTTGTAATTTGTCATGCTTCAAATAAGAAACTTCCCGACCAAACTATGAAGACTCATACTATCAATGTTATATGTGAGTTTATGAATTAATTCAACTTCATTCTATGATCTAAAACCATTAAAACTAAGCTAATATTTGTATCTATTCATAACAGATCCACCTTCGAGCTTGACTATTACTGGTTATGAGGAAAATACAGCTATTGATGCTGGTACAGTTTTAAAATTACTCTGCGTTGCAACTTCAGGCAATCCACTTGCCAATGTCACCTGGTACAAAAACGATAAAGAGGTAAATAATATTGTATTTTATGATCGTAACTAAATTCAGTCTAAGCTGATTAATTTTTACTTTGTGAAAATAATTCTTTTGATAATACAATATCCGCTTATAAGATTAAAATAGTTTTTTTTATTTTTCACCAATTTTTTAATTTTTTATTTATTCATTTATTTATAGATAAAAGGTTCAATCTGGACTCAAGATCATGCTGTATCAAACGAACTCGAAATTCTCGTGAATGAGTATGATAACAATGCACATATTAGATGTGATGCTGTTAATTCCGCTTTGACGATTCCGATGAGTAAAAAATTCGTGTTGAAAGTTAATTGTAAGCTACAAACTGTATATCATTATATTTTAAACGCTTTGAATTAATTGCTCGAATAATAATATAATTATTATTACAGTTCCACCAGCACAAGTGAAAATAACACGTGAGCCTGAGGAATTCCGTGCTGGAGAAAATGGAAAATTAATTTGTGAATCAAGCTCTAGTAATCCCGCAGCTGAAATGTCATGGTGGAAGTCAGGTATTGCAGTTGAAGGAACAAAAAATACAACACGAATTGGTCTACATGGTGGATTTGTTTCTACTGTTGAACTACAGCTTTATCTAACTGAAGATATGAATGAAGAGCTTTATACTTGTCAAGCGAGAAATGCAGCTATGCAACGAACAACTCATGATGCAACGACTTTAAATGTTTTATGTTAGTTTTAGGAATTTAGTTATTTATATCTATTCAGTTTGATAGCAAAGACATTTATCTATGGTAATTGATTGCAGTTAAACCAATATTCACGTCAATGGATCCCAACGAATTAGTAGGGATGGAAGGTGAGCCTTACGTAATCTCTGTCACAGCTAAAGGAAATCCAACTACAATAAATTTTACGTGGGTTCGAGACGGATTGCCTTTGAGCAAAGATAGTTCAAGAATTAGAGCTCGAGACTCAACCTTAAATATAACCAAACTTCATCGCAATGATGCTGGTACATATATTTGTCAAGCAACCAATAAAGAAGGCTCCTCATTCTATCAACTCAATTTAACAGTTCAATGTAAGTTTGAAAAATACCAGAAATCATCAATCAATCATGTGGTCTTTTTATTTATTTCGTTGTAAAATTTTTATTTTACTTCTCAGATGCTGCGGAAATCAAACGAACGTCAGAGTCTGGAGTCGTATATCCAACAGACACGGAAGCAAGACTATTTTGTGAATTGGATGGCAGTCCCATTGGTGATGAATACGTAACATGGTACAAAGTTGGCTCAACTTCCGAACTGTCTAGTCGTTATTCAACCTCCTTTACAAACAAAACCTCCTACCTTCACATCAGCAACCCTAGTGAAGAAGACGTTGGAGAGTATCGTTGCAATGTTAACAATGGAATTGGAAACGTCACATCAAAACCTATTTTATTCATCACCAATTGTATGTTCAATTGCCTTTCTTTACAAATCAAGAATCACACAATTACAGTATAGAATCAATTGAACCATAACGATTTTATTTTTAATATTTACAGTTGAACCACAAATTACCAGTACACCTTTGATGCGAAAAGCTGCCGCGAATGTAAAAGACGATGTGAAATTATATTGCAAAGCACGTGGCTCTCCATTGCCAAAATTCACATGGACGTTTGGCGATAAAACTATTCATCCGAATGCAACATTGGATAAATATAAAATTACTCGGAAAGAAGTAAGCTTTTTTTTTAAATTATGGATTCTACTTTTCATATTTAATTGTATTTAAGTTATTAGATTATTCAACTGACCTGAAAAAATTCTAAAAAGTTGAGATATATTGAAAATAATTCTAATAGAACAATACTTATATGAAAAATCAAATTTTTCCATCTTAAAATAATTACATTGTCCATAAGTATTATTAAGTCATGTATTTTTTCAAAGTAATTGCAATTTTTAGAATTTTTAAAATTTAAATTGTTACTTGGAAGCTCAAATATACTGCAAATAAACTGAACCTGTTCAATTTAAAAAAATTTTAATGAAATTTTTTAAGCGCTTTGTAATATTAAAGTGAAGCAGAATACCATTTTTTTGTAGCAAATTATTCTCTTTTTATTAAAAATCCAAGATTAAACCTTTTCTTAATAACGTGTCTTTTACAGCTTTGTGAAACCTTCATTAGAAAGTCTATATACTTACACAACATAACATTGTATAAAATTCATGAAATTCTTTTTACTATTAAAAAACCATCAATCAGTTGTATTCATTAATTCAATTTATCCTTCATTTTTGTCATTTAGCTGTCCAAACTCGAAACACTATCGACATTAACGATTATTCGAGTAAACCAACGGGATTACGGAAAGTACCATTGTCGGGCTTTTAATGATATGGGACAAACAACAGATGTTGTTCATTTGGATGTGACATCGCCACCTGATCAGCCAAATGACCTAGAAGTTTACAATGTAACTCACGACAGTGTAACACTCACGTGGAAAAAAGGGTTCGATGGCGGTCTACCAACTTCTTATCGGATTCGTTGGAGACCTGCACTTGATTACATGGAGAATTATAATTATGTAGATATTTCATCTGGAAGATTTATGGCAACAATTAGAGGACTTGACTTAGGAACATACTATGTCTTTAGCATAATGGCAAAAAATGCTAAAGGTGAAAGTCCATATTTACCAGATATTGTCAAAGTTCAAACGTTGAGTAAGTACCTAACAATAATTAATTTACTACACGACAATACAACACAATAAATCATCTGTTTATTCTCATTGATCATTTGTTAGTCGCATGATGATCAAAATGCTTCATATATTGTTAATAACATCTCTGACGTGTTTTTGATTAAATAATCCGGTGTATTGATTATTAATGATAGCTCTCAAAAGGCTATCATCAATATCGACTCCAGCAGTATGCGTTTAAGCAATCAATTCAACACAAGAAGTTTGTGTGCATTTCATAAATTGAAGTTTTTTTTATTGCAAAATTTTTTGATGTCTAAAAAAATAAAAACTTCATCATATTTTTTCAAATTTAAATTTCTGTTGTTTAACAATGTCGATAGTATTGTATAAAAACTGTTTTCATTAAACGTTACGAATAGAATTTATTAAAACATTCATTTTTTCTCAAAATAAAATCAATAACTAAGAATAAATTATAAATTCTTCTTTTTGAACAAAAAAAAAAAATATTATTTTAATAAATATTCATATCAACCACTTTTGAAATCATCTTCCAGATAGATGTAATTGTATAAATTTAATAACAAAATATTTCAAGCTGTCAATTTCACTCATATTGTGACTTTTCCAACTTTTATCTGTTAGTATGTCAATAAAAGTACTATTGAAAATAATTAGACTAGAAAGAAGAATCATAGAAATGATGAATTTTATTTCAATTGTAAAATAGAATGAAATCATCTTTCCGGAAAATATTAGTGACAAACATTGAAATTAAAAATATAAATTTTGTAAAAGTTAGACATAAAAGACTTCTGCGTTGATAAAATTTCGTAATGATACAATTAAAGTGAAATTGTAATAGCTTTACAGAAATATCTTTGACAACATGTTGCACATATTATCATGATTAAAATCCGGATATAAACACGATATTTATGTAGACAATAGCAAAATTACATTTAATTAATCACAACGCTTATTGCAATGTTTTACTTCTAGAATCCTATATAATTACTATTATTATCATATGAAATCGTCGAAAATTCAATTATTATTTATTATCCTATCATTTATTAACTCACTGAATCAAAGAAAAGGAAGTGCAGTTATTATTTTTTTATTCATAAAGAAAATTTATAACTCAGAGTGTTATTAACGTCATGTGAGACTAACAAAGAGCAGATCAATATCGTCCTCATAATCATTGTCACTCATTATTGCCATCTTAATCAATTCATCATAATTTATGAAGCAAAGAGAATGGAATTGAAATTTCGTAGTCATGAATATGCATGATTGGCTTCAGTTTAAAAGACAACCTATAAATAAATTCAACGTTGAGGACAATTTTTTCATCAACGTCCAATCATTTACGTCAACTTGATGATCAGTCGTAGTTCATTGCAGTAAAAATCCTTCAGCCTTAATAACTGAAAATGAAAAAATATATATATAAATTCTAAAATTAAAATATTATTTATTACTCAATAATATTTAAATTCCAAAATACTTTATTAATTTAGAATTTTCAATATTTTGCAATAACTTACTGAAAAGAAGTTTACTTGAATTTTTTCATTTTCACTTAAATTAACAGAGAACAAATAATGCTAAACTGGGATATTATAAAATAACGTAGCTTTAATGAAGCTTGAAGTCAATATAAAAATTAGCATGTCAAGAATAAAGTAGTATAATAAAAAATAAGAGCATAAAAAGTACGTCTTTGAGTTTGTTAACGTAAAGTAAAACTAGTAGTATTTGAGATGCAATTTCATCCAAATGAAAGGATATTGGAGTAGCTTGTCGATAAACGTAATAGGTAATGAGGCAATGTAAGAGGGTAGAATCGAAAGCTTCAGATGAATAAAATATAGACGTAACTAACGGCCAGGTGCATGAGTAACATTCGGGTGACGGGGTTAATGGCTTGGGTTACAGGCGAAGCACCACCAACCGAGTTGACCGCCAGTGAGATTAACTCCTCCTACACCATCATCATAATCATCGCTATTTCCGCCTGTGCTTGTCTACTTATTGCTACACCCATACTATATGCTACACTTAAAGCCAAAAAGAAGATTCATCGTTCTGGTAAATATAAATTTACATTTACTATTCTGTTTGTTTTACGCAACCCCTAGGACCTAATATGGGCGAAAGTGATCGAGAAGTTTCCTTGGAGAAAGGTGATTCTCCAATGAACTATGTCTATACTGTTGCTGCTACCTCGATCATCTTTTTCATTATTAATCTCTTCATCTTATTATGGTACATTGTCCGAAAGAAAAATAAGGATCGTAAGTGTTATATCATATTTTATTATGAATTATTAGATTCAAAGTATTATTTTATGATGCCAGATGTCTAGGTAATTATAATACTTGAGTTTGCAGAATTATGCTTGAAGAAATATTCAGCATTTTGACATGAAGAATAGAAAAATTTAATAATACTTTTTAATAAAGTATGATTTAATAGAATGATGATATGTAGGTAAATAAATGAGTGAAATTTAATGATTTTTATATAATAAAAATAAAATTTTTAAAAGATTCATAAGATGCGAAGTAGCTTTGAAATATATGTTATTTGTCTAATTGAATGTTTTATATTTAACTCATTGCTAACAAGTTTCATAACATTCCAATTAGAATATGCTAATTCACGTACACTTAATTAACAAACATTATTTAAATATGCTTGGCAATATTCGTATCTAATTATTCTAACCGAAAATATACTTCTAATTAATTATAAAGATCTTCTGTATTCTAACATCATGAAGCTTGAAAAAAAAACATAAATGCACTGTTGAGACTTGGATTTAAATTTTGCTGCCAAAAGTATTTTAAAGAAATTAGAAAAATTCATTCTTTTAATATTTCATTTCAAATTTGAACTTAATAGAGACAGATCCCAAAAGAAATACCACAGATGATCTGGCGAGTGAACAAGAGTAGCTTTACTAATAGAGTTTTCGTTTATGATGGAACCTCTGAAAAAAAAAATGAAATTAAGCTTTCTAGCTTTATCCTGTCATTCCATTCGTTCAGCTAGTTCATCAAGAATCAACTTATATGCACTTCTATAGGTCTATTATATAAACTTTTACATTTTTCAGAAAGTTTTTAATATTTTAAACGAATAATTGATGACATAATTATTAAATGAACTTTATAACTTAAGTTATTCAGTTATCTGTGAACTCTAAAAAATTATGTTGACTCTTCCAACAAGATGGTACACTACTAGTTGACTTTATTTTTATCTTTGAATAAGTTCAACACAATTTATCGATTTTTACTTAATTAATTACTCATAACTACTATCATTTGCATAAATGTCTTTTCTGCCGTTAAAAATAACTTTTAATTCTTGAGAAATTAAAACTAATGAATTTTTCAAACATTGTGAAATGCAGCTTTGCTTAATTGTAACTAATCAATTAATGGAATATGAGCAATCTTATGAGTAAAATTGGAAAAATTAATATTGAAATAGATTTTTGTATTTACCACAATTGATTAATAAAAAAAAAATAAAACATTTGGTATTATTAAATTTTTCTATTACAAAAACAAAAAAAAAAAATACAAAAATGATATTTACAGGAATCTTATTCCAATAAAATAAATATAAAAAAATTGAATTAGCATTTATTGATTTAGAAATCAGATCAGGAATTTTATGCGTGGAATTTGTGGTATTTGATTGATTACATAAAATTTATGTAGAATAATTTTTAAGAGAATTTTCTAGTTATTGGGATTTTAAGGGTTGATCACACAGGCATATTATTAATTTTGTGATTAAGAGATATCAATTATGCCATTTCGATCATAATATTTTATAATTTATTCGTAATTAAAACTATCAAAATAATTCTATTAATAACATTATATAATTCTTCAATAAATCATATCAATAATGAAATAATTATTAATTTAACGAAATATTAATTAAAATTAAAAAAAAAACAATTATATTCATGATTAAGTTTCAATATTTAAGTTATGAAAAATATTAATTTAATTCAAATGAAAGAGGATTTTATTAATTATTATGTTTATTTTATTTTCTATAGATATCAACAAGTCGCAAACCGCTGACATGTATGCCCCATCCACGGTGAATGGTGACACAATGACAGGAGAGTTGAGTTCAGTATCGGACGAGAAGAGCGACGTTAACTTTGACGCCAATGATTACGTGGTCAGTGCGATCAGTCAGTATGTTCTTAGTAACAAGTAATTATGGAGGGTAGGTTTGAGTTCTGTTAACCCTTTTTTCAGTTAACTTTTTGTTTCTTTTCCTTCTCTTACCCTACCACTCCACTTACCAGTCATTTATTTTACATCTTCACTCATTTCCTCCCTAGACTCAGCATTATGAATTCATATTTCTCTCTTTCTTATCTTTATTATTTATTTTTTCTTCCTTATTTTTGTTTTTTCTCTTTTATTTTCATTATTAGCTAGGGCAAATGGGACTATTAACTCGTGCTGCAACGTGTATGATGGAAATACAAAAAATGGAATGCTGATAAAATTAACAATGAATGAATAGGATTAATAACTCTAGCAATAGTTATGAATAATATAGTTTTAGTAATAATAATAATAATTTAAATGCAGTTAAGCGAAACAATTTTAACGATTAAATCCACATAAACTTAATTGATTGCTTTTCAAAGATAATAATCCAATTTACACAAAAATTAAATATATATATTTTGGTATCAATTATTTAAATAATTATTGGCCAAAAGAATAGATAGAGCTTGTAAATATCAAACAATAATAGATATGAAATGATACGAAGGTTTTTTAATCATCGCTAATTGAAAATTCGTATTTTTGTATATAATAATTTATAAATTGAGCTTTGAATTCATTACTTCGATTCATAAAGTTTATTAAATCATTTTATAACATGAATATTTTCATGAAACTTTTTCAAATTAAACTATAATTATCAACTACAAGATTTTCTTGTTGAGACATGAAATTCTTCACAATTAGTTAACAATAATGATCTCTCAAACTTTATAACATAGATTAAATAATTTATCATAAATGATTCAATTATTTAGCTCTTAAACTAAGAGTTCAATTATCTCGAATTAAGATTTTTTTGCTTAACAATGTTAATAGGATAAGTTTTAGAAAATAAGAACCCGTATGAAAAAATTTCGTTCCCCGAATGTTCCCAAGTAGGACTATGAGAAACTTTTGGGAAACAAAATTTTTATTTTTGAAAATTTTTCCTAAGACATGAAAATGGGCATATCTTCTATGCTAATGATGCTACGGGGTTGATCGAGGGCTCAAATGAAAGATCTCGATGGAAGGAAGAAAATCGATATGGTAAAAATCATCATTGGAGAATAGTTCATGCTAAAATTGGAGCAAGTTCCCGTTTTACCCCATTTTAGGAGTGAAATAATTAATTTTTCTAATGTTTGACCTGATTCCGCATTACTACGCATCAAGACGAAGAGAATGAGTGGTCGATCATCAAAATCGGAGTACCTTTATTTTTCGACCCCAAAAAATGGCAAGTGGTACCCCTTTCCATTTTTTTTGGCCAAAAAATAAAAGTTCTCCGATTTTCAAGTTTGACCACTCATTCTCTTCGTCTTGATGCGTAGAAATGCGGAATCGGGGCACCGCCCAAGAAAATTCACTTTAACACCCTTAAAAACGGGTTACACTAAATACAAATTATGGATCATCATCCCCTTGGCTTTAAACCCTTATAACTCATGAACGGATGGTCCAATAATCACTTTTAGGCACGTTTTAGAAACTTTAGAATCTAAGCTAAACATTGATATCTATAAAAAATGTTGAAAAACTTTCTTTCACCCTTAAAATTGCTAAAATATAAAAAAGAACCACGTTTTTTTGGGAGTTTGCCAACTATTTTGGCAATTTTGAGGGTGAAATAAATTTTTTAAACATTTTTTATGGATATGTTTCGTTAGCTAAGATTCTAAAGTTTCCAAATATCTCTTAAAAATCATCATTCGATGATTTTTCCACGAGTTATGACGATTCAAAGTGAAAGAGTAGATGATTTTTGACCCTCACTCTAACTTTGGATCTCTATAACTCTCATACAAGTCATCGAATGATGATTTTCAAGAGGTATTTGGAAACCTTAGAATCTTAGCTAACGAAACATATCCATAAAAAAAGTTTAAAAAATTTATTTCACCCTCAAAATTGCCAAAATAGTTGGCAAACTCCCAAAAAAATGTGGTTCTTTTTTATATTTTAGCAATTTTAAGGGTGAAAGAAAGTTTTTCAACATTTTTTATAGATATCAATGTTTAGCTTAGATTCTAAAGTTTCTAAAACGTGCCTAAAAGTGATTATTGGACCATCCGTTCATGAGTTATAAGGGTTTAAAGCCAAGGGGATGATGATCCATAATTTGTATTTAGTGTAACCCGTTTTTAAGGGTGTTAAAGTGAATTTTCTTGGGCGGTGCCCCGATTCCGCATTTCTACGCATCAAGACGAAGAGAATGAGTGGTCAAACTTGAAAATCGGAGAACTTTTATTTTTTGGCCAAAAAAAATGGAAAGGGGTACCTGTTACGTCTCAGTAACAGAATAGTCTCTTTTTCGAGTCAAGACCCAATCGTCCTCTACTCACCATGGGTGCGGAGACCACGCAGAATATACTTTAGATGGAGAATTAAAGAAATAGGAAAGGTTCTTAGTGCTTTACAAACCACACTGGTGCATTTAGTTTTCTCAAAGAAAGATAGAGATTTGTTCTTATGATAGTCAATTCTTTATTTAATTTCTGTCATCTTTTTACTCACTAAATTGTTTTACAGCTTGGCTAAACAGGTAGCTAGGTAGCAGAAGGTTGTATACGCGTGAAAGGCTGCAGTTGCTTGGTTTGGTTGACGCTTCGATTCTCGGCTCTCGGCGTTGGTGCGGCGTCTTTCGGCGTAGTTGAGATGATTTTATGGTTTTATGGCTGTCTTGGTGAAAGGTTGTCGTTGGCTCGTTGGAAATCTTCATTGAAGCCTTCTAGTTGACTGATCTTCCTTCTTCTTACACTCCCGATTTTTATTTTAATAATTTTTGTTAAGAGATAAATAAATTAAAATAAAAGAATTTAAATATGCAATTTGTTTAAGAGAAAATCCACGTAGGATTATTTAATCTCAGATGAGTATATTTCAAGCCCAAAAATTTATCTTTGAATTTTAGAGTTGAATCAAGAATTAGTTCAAAAGTATTCTGAGTTTGAAAAATTATATCAAGCTGAGTTCGGATTTGCACCGTGCCCAGTAAAAATTTGGAAGAGAGTGAAGTTCCTTGGGAAAACCTGGACTATTTATCCAGGGTTCCAACCCCTCTGAAAAGCTGGAGGTGGTAGCTTTATTGCTCTTTCTGCCAATCCGGTAGATTTGAATATCCAAATTTCCTTCAGTCAGGCTATCCACGTGCGGGCCTCTTGAACTGCCTTTACACCCGCTTTCTCTTCTTTCCTTCACCTGTCTGTCCACCTAGCGTCCTTGAGTTTCCCCTTGGTGCCTTCAAGTCTGACTTCACTCATTGATTTTTCTTTACCTGACTTTCCTCTGCTTACTGTTTCTTTTTCCTTTTTAAATTTAATATATTTTATTTTAACAAAAATGTTGTGTACTCTGGTACATAACAAATCTCCCTGCTTTTGGATGAGTGCTAGTGACCCAATGGTTACTACGCGAGTCCATCTTCCCCATTGAAGATTCTTTCTGCTACCCTTACAAAGTATCAATAAAAATATTAAGCTTAGACTAAGTGTATTAGGTGTTAACGTTTTAGTGTAAAAAAAAATTTTGAGTCGTGGTGATTTGTTTTCATGTAATTCTGTAAACTCTTCTTTATCACATCTTCTGCTGATCTTGCAATTCTCTTCATAGGTAATAATGGTCTCATATCTTCATATATTCCTTCTTCCTTACTATTAACCCCTAGATTTTCTTCTAACTTGATTTGTACTAACAATCTTTCTCTCAGAATTCTATTCTTTACTCGATAAGCTATATTCAATGCACACTTGCCCCCTATGTTCTTTACTGTATGATGAGCACACTTCTCGTCCGCTAAAGGTAAATCTGGAGTCATGCGTAAATTAATTACTTCTCTTCTTGTATAATGTACCACTATCCCTTCAACTTCGGCTCCCATCACATAAATGTCTCCAACTTTATTTAATATATCTGCCAATTTTTCTAAACTCTGACTCCAAGCATAACCCTTTTGTGTCCATTTAATTTCCAGCAGTACTTCCTTTATCGTGCAATTATCTCTCTTCTCGGGGCTCATCTTAAAGAAATCATAAGGTGGATCCACTATCCAAGTTTCTATCATTGGCTCAATTACCCCTACGATAGCTATCTTTTTAGGTATCAATTGTCCGTTCTCATCATAGAAACCCGTTATATGTACCACCACTTTTATCCCTTCTAGACTTGGATCCATCTCGTCACCAGTCTCAAAAAGAAATATGACAAGAATAATTTTCTCCTACTCGCTGTTGCCACTATCTATATTTGATAGTATAAGTCTATTAGGATGCACTACTCTTGCTTTATTTTCAACTTTAATACGTACATTACCATCTGGCATTATTTCTATTACTTTATATGGTCCTTCATATTGATTCTCTAACTTCCCTGATTTCTTACCTACTGCTAGACACACATAATCTCCTACTGTGAAACTTACTTCATTAACCCTTTGGTCATAATATTTCTTTGATTTTTCTTTAGCATGAATCAGGTTTCCTCTTGCTTGTTGCTGTAAATCATATATTTTCGTCTTCAAGTCTACCAAATAATCTTCATAAGTCATTACATCATCATCTTCTTCAACCCTGCTCGATGGCAGTCTTGCTGGTCGTCCAAAAACTAATTAGAAAGGTTGATATTGTGTCCCTTCATGTACACTTGTATTGTAAGAAAAAGTGGCCAGCTCTAACCACTCATCCCAGTCTTCTGTTTCCCTATTAGTATATTGCTTCAGATACTCTATTAATGAGTGATGTGATCGCTCTAATGATCCATTTGATTGTGGATGAAATGCAGTTGTCCTGACTTGTTTTATTTTAAATATTTTTGCTAACCTCTTCATTAATTTACTAGTCAGATTCGCTCCTTGATCGGTGAGAATTGTCTTAGGAGCTCCATATACACATATTACTCTTTTTACCAATCCTCTTGCTATTTCTTCTGAGGTTGTTTTGCA